AGCTAGAGTGATTTCCACAGACGGATGGACATCGCTAAATCGACACAGAATTTTATACTGATCAAGAATATACAGGGATATGAGATAAAAAAAAAAAAAAAAAACTCCAACAAAGTCAAACGCCATAACTTTTATTTTTTTTTTAATTTTAATGAATAAAAGTAAAAAATGTCGGAAATAGCATCAAATTTTAGACTAAGCTTAGATGTGTTCGAATTGGTCACCTTTGGCACGAAATATGGCCTTCAAATGGCCAATGAAACCGTCCCACGCTGCCCGAATGTTGCTCTGCGGTATTTAGGCCCATTCCCGGCGAAGCGCTTGCTTGAGGTGGTCGACCTTTTGGTATTTCTTAGTGCCAACCTTGCTTTCCAAAATTCTCCAACGGATTGGTATACAGAGATTTTTGGTGGCCATTGTGCTCTGGAAATGAAGCGAGCAACCTCATTTTCTAACAATTCTTGAGTGGCGCGTGCTGAGTGCGAAAACCAAATTCGGCAGTTCACCACTTTCGGCCAAGCGAAACAACTCTTTAGCTCTTTTGAGTCTATTTTCTTTCTGTTGCGGTGTAAGTTCTGGTATTTTTTGGAATTTCAATGGCTTTACCCCGATCTCAGTTTTCCATATTTGCCGAATGGCATATTGCGATATGTTCAGCTCACGAGCCACTTTTCGGCCACCGAGACGCGGGTTTCGATCAAGTCGCTTCTTTACGTTTCGAACCATTTCTGCGGATGTTGCTGTTTTCTTCCGTCCATTTCCTTGACGTCGGGCTACGCTACCAGTATCACGGTAACGAGCGATGGTACGAGACACAAAAGATTTATTCACATTTAAATGCTGGAGTGCTCTAACGAAAGCCACTTGTTGTTTTCGAGCCAAATATAAAGAAATCACACTATCACGCTTGAGTTCCATCACGATAAAACTTTTTTTTTCGGAAAATTCTAACCAAAATGCTTTTGTACGCGTGTAAACAACATAATGAGCTGTCACTGGAAGAATTTTAACAGTTGTCGGACGAGTGGCTTCGAAATGACAGCAGTCTTAAGTTGATTGCAGTTTTTTCATCTCACCCTGTATAAGCCTTGCTGGGTCTGAAATTATTATATAGCTACAATCATAGAGCTTTTACTCATACCTGTCTAAGGACTCTCATAACGGTTTTTCATATCGAAATGTCTTCGGTGGACCAAAGTCTTTTCAAATGGCGCATATATGAAGAAATCGCAGACGATATTATATTTAATAAACGACATCACTTATAAGATGCACACACACATACATCCAACTCTAAACGCAACACCTGTAGCTTAACCTACAGAAATACGTTGTGGCCTTTTCGACCTAGTTATGATGCAATTTCCGTTTACAAACATCAGGAAAACGGAAGTTTCCCTTCGGGCGAATATATCTTACTTTCGTTCCCCAGCAATTATCAAACATAATTTACAGCAACACAAGTTGTTGTCGTTGTAGTGGAAAAGAAAATAATAAATTTGTAATAAGTTTGCAAAAGGATATCGCAGGACATGGAACAGTAACGATACGATAAGAAACAGATTTGATTGCTGGCTGGTTGGCTAGCTAGCAAAATCTTCGATAATAGCCAAAACGATGATGACGACGACAACGACGACTACTACCACGTCGATTGCCTTAAGCCACAAAATGTAATAAATTCAAGACGAAAACACGAAAGTAAATCCCAGTAAGAAAGTAACCGTGGCAAGGAGTGAACAGCCAACACTGTTGCCAAAGTTAGCCAGTCAATGAAGTTAGACCATGGCAGGAATGAAAAACCAAAAAAAGGAACTTTCACAAACGATGGACAACAAAGCATTCTCTCTAAAACTGGCCACAAACCGAGTAAATCCGCAAAAGAGTCTTCAGTACAAATTGTCAACATGGACGATGAAAAGTAGCTGGGTTTTTTTGCTGTCGAAAATGGAATTCACGTAATCCGAAAACAACATGAGGTAAACGACAATGGGGAAAAGGGAATACGGCAAAAATTGCAAGGATGGAAGGCGAAGAAACTGGCGCGCACACACACACACCGCCACCACCAATTATTGCAAAAGTTTGGTTGAAGTGGAAGGTAGCTACCATTGTGGGTGGTGGCATGTTAGGCGTGCACGTATCTATCGAATTGCAGTAGACATCCCGGAGTACACCTGCTGGGCTTCTTAGCTGTACAGTGACAGGTGTGCTAAAAATAAATACAACGGATGAACTATTTAAATTAGACTAAGAGATTCTAAATCTTTTTGAAGTGTTTAACAGTGCCATTTGTCGACAGAGGATTAAATGGTTTCCAGATGGGTGAAGATGCATGGGTGTGAAAAGAAAGCGGGAGGGATGAACTATTACAAACAATGTGGATTTGAGGAATATTTTGCCAGGGCTATTATAACCACGAGGATTTTAAGAATATTTTTGCTAGGACTTTAAAAGCTGTCAGAATGGGGATTTCTAAAATACTTTCCAGGACTATTAGAGCCAAAAAAGGCGTGGATTTTTAAAATTTTTTTCAGGTCCTGTTAAGTATTTTCCAGGTCGTTTTAAGTATTTTTCCCAGGACTGTTTGAGCCACAAAGGAGTGGATTTTTAAGATATTTTTTCAAGGACTTTTTAAACGTTTTTTCCAGGACAATTAAAGCCACAAAGGTGTGGATTTTTAAAATATTTTTTAAATGACCATTTAAATGTTTTTTCCAGGACTATTAGAGCCACAAAGGCGTAATTTTTTAAAATATTTTTTCAATGACCATTTAAATGTTTTTTTCCAGGACTATTAGAGCCACAAAGGCGTAATTTTTTTAAATATTTTTTCAATGACCATTTAAATGTTTTTTTTTTTTTTTTTTTTTTTTTTTCAGGACAATAAGAGCCACGAAGGAGTGGATTTTTAAAATACTTTTTTGCAGGAGTTTTGCTAGCCCGAAAGGCGTGGATTTTTAAAATATTTTTTCAATGACCATTTAAATGTTGTTTTTCCAGGACAATAAGAGCCACGAAGGAGTGGATTTTTAAAATACTTTTTTCCAGGACTTTTGCTAGCCTGAAAGGCGTGGATTTTTAAAATATTTTTTCAATGACCATTTAAACGTTTATTTTCCAGGACAATAAGAGCCACGAAGGAGTGGATTTTTAAAATACTTTTTTCCAGGACTTTTGCAAGCCCGAAAGGCGTGGATTTTTAAAATATTTTTTCAATGATCATTCAAACGTTTTTTTCCAGGACAATAAGAACCACGAAAGAGTGGATTTTTAAAATATTTTTTCAATGATCATTCAAACGTTTTTTTTTTCCAGGACAATAAGAACCACGAAAGAGTGGATTTTTAAAATACTTTTTTCCAGGACTTTCGCTAGCCTGAAAGTGGATTTTTAAAATATTTTTTCAATGACCATTTAAACGTTTTTTTTCCAGGACAATAAGAGCCACGAAGGAGTGGATTTTTAAAATACTTTTTTCCAGGACTTTTGCTAGCCCGAAAGGCGTGGATTTTTAAAATACTTTTACAATGACCATTTAATGACAGGCGTGGATTTTTTGAATATTTTTTTAGGACAATTGGAGCCACAAAGTCGTAGATTTTTAAAATATTTTTTTAGGACAATTGGAGCCACAAAGTCGTAGATTTTTAAAATATTTTATAGGACAATTTGAGCCACAAAGTCCTTGATTTTTAAAATATTCCATCCAGGACTTTTGGTGGCTCGAAAGTCGTGGAATTTTAAAATATTCCTTTCAGGACGCTTGGTGGCCCGAGAGGCCAGAACTATCGGAGCCACAAAGTCGTATATTTTTAAAAAATTCCTTCAAGAATTGTTGGTGGCCCGAGAGACCAAGATAATTGGTGCCAGAAAGTCATATATTTTTCAAATATTCCTTCCAGAACTTTTGGTGGCCCAAAAGGCGTGGATTTTTAAAATATTTTTCAAGGGCATTCAGCTCCATAAATTGGTGAATTTTAATAATATGTTCATGGACTTTCAGAGCAATAAAGTGGTGAATTGTAAGAAAAGTTTTCATGGACATCCAGAACCATAATGTGGCGAATTTTAAAAATACATTTAATGGACTTTCAGGATCATAAAGTGGCAAATGTTAAGAATATTATACAAAGGACTTTCAGGGCCATTACTGCGAAGAATAGTTTTCAAGGACTTTCATGGTCATAAAAGAGAATTTTTTCCAGTAAGGACTTTCAGTGCTATAAATGATTTTAATAATATTTTTTCCAATAAACACAAAGTTACAAAAGCAAAATTTTTTCTGCATTATCTTGGACTATTTTTAAGTTCTGAGATACAAACGAGACTTTTCATTTTGATTATGTCACTATACCAAATCAGATTTCCCCATTATTATTTTTAAATCTTATTTATGATACAAAATTTCACATCCTTGCCTACCCACTGTCCTGTTGATTAACTGGCATTGCCAGTAGCCAACATTTACCGCAGACAACACGAATGATTCTTAAGTAGATGTTAGAAACCACGTAAATATAGTTTGCCATTCTCGACATTAAAAAGGATATAAGTATACAGGGAGTTTGGTGTAAAAGGACTAAGGTATAAACTTTAAACACATTTAAGTGAAAATGTGGGTATGTGTGGGGGGTTCTTGTGCTGGCCCATCTCAAACAGCTTTTCACAACATTTCCCAGCTAGCGGTAGTGGGAATTGCCTGGAACTCGACAACGCCATAGCGGCTAGTGAAAAATCAATTTCCTTTTAAAATTTATTACATTTACGATTATGAAGGCATTAACAATAAAAATAGTCAAGCATTGCCCACAAGGCAAAAGTCGAAGCGAAACTGAGATAGAAACCAAAGGCACACAAAAAAAAAACGAAGACAACTTTGCTCTGGCAGTAACATAAATCGAACATAAGTATGGCAAGACCGGTTGCTAGCTTACAATATATAATTTCATTTTTTTAAGAAAGAAAAAAAAAACAGTTATGATTTTGTCACAACTTACGTGTAGAGTGGAATTCCTGTTGTATCCTTGAACCACAGCAATAGTTTTACAGAATCGTGCGCTGGCGGTGTTAGATCGCACGGCAAATCGACACTTTTGCCCACTGCTGCCCAGACCAGACGTGCAGGAACTGTAAAAAAAAGAGAGAAGAGAAAACATAATAATAAGAAATCAAATTGATAATAAATCGGTAAACAGAAATTAAAGCAAGGCAAGGAAGGAGAGAAGGATGTAAGGATCTGAAACTTTGTGGAAAAAGGCAGCGGATATTAGTTTTATTTCATTACTGATTATGACTAGGTGTAGTACAATGCCAAAGGTGATATACTTATAAACTAGCATTTATTGCTGTTTGCTTGCTCCTTTAACTTTGGCCCTTGGCATCCTGGTGGCCAGTGCTTTGTCATTGCAAGACATGAATTTAATAAAACAAGATAAAAAATTTAATAATCATAACCAAAGTAATGTCAGCAGCGTCCATGGAAGGCTTCCTTTTCAATTTCTTTTTATGAATTCTCAGTAAAGTGGACAACAAGAAAAAGAGAGAAAAACAACAAAAATGCCCACAGAGGCTTAGTGTGAGAAGAGGCCTTGCTAGGGCCTTGAGGATTCTTGGGAAATTAATTATATTTTTTTTTTTTCATTAGACCAAGAAAAGTTGATTTTTTAGAATATTTTTCAAGGAATAAAAGCAGCATATAAAACTAGCATTTTCTCAGAACCTTATTTCGTGGACTAATAGAATTACGAAAGTAGATTTTTATGATTATTTTTCGAAGCCACACGATGGTATTTTTTTTTTCAAGAACTTTTTATCGACGAAAAGAATAACAATTGCGTTTTAAGGATATTCTTTAAAAACGAAGAGAGAGAGAGAGTGAGAGAGAGAGGGTAGCAACATGAGCGTAAAATTTGGAATTGTTCTCTATGATAGTTAAGGAATATCACAGCCATACCTTTTTTATTTTACGAACTCTTTTAAGGACTATCAGAGGTCTATAAAATGAAAAATTTTAAAGGTTAAAGTCCATGAACTGAATTGGCTTGACCATATTTTTCAGGGACCATAAGAGGTGTAACCGTGTTTTTAGCAGGTACATTTCTTGGGGACAAATGATCTATAAAACTGGATTTTTAAACATATTTTTCTACAGCCTAAGAGTACCATTAACTATGAAATAGTTTTCACTTTTTAGAAACTTTTTTCTATTGAAGTCCAAGAAACGTGGAATTTGAGAATAATCTCACAGGACTAACGCGTAGATTTAAAGAAGGACTATCGGAATGCCCAACTGAGATTTTTAAGAATATTTTTTCAAGGTCATACAAGTCGTGGATTACAGGAAGAAATTTCTATATGGATGTTAAGAATATATTCTCAAGGACTATTAGAGTCAAAATGTAGTGAATTTTAAAAATATTTTTGTACAGGACTGTTAGAGCCAACAGACAAAGGCGTAGATTTTAGGATAACTTTTTGAGATCTATAGGACCACAAAGACATACATTTTGAGAATAAATGTAAAAGAACTTCCGCATTTTAAGACTATTTTTTGGGAATATTAAAGGCACAAAAGCATGGAATTTAAGATTTTTTCCAAAACTTTAAAATCTACAATGGCGATAATTCGTAGAATATTATTTAGAATATAGATATATAGGGTGAGATTAAAAAACTGCAACAAAATTAAACGCCATAATTTTTACATTCCTTTCTTTAATTTTATTGAATGAAAGCAAAAAATGTCGGAAATAACATCACATTTTAGAATAAGCTTAGATTTGTTCGAATTGGCCACCTTTGACACGAATTATGGCCTTCAAACGGCCAATGAAACCGTCACACGCTGCCTGAATGTTGCTGTGTGGTATTTGGCCCATTCTCGGCGAAATGCTTGCTTGAGGTGATCGACACTTTGGTATTTTCTAGTGCCAATCTTGCTTTCCAAAATACTCCAGACACAATAGTGCAATGGACTGGTCTCCGGAGATTTTGGTGGCCCATGTGCGCAGGAAATTAAGCGAGGAACCTCATTTTGTAATCATTCTTGAGTGGCGCGTACTGAGTGTGCTGGTGCTGAGTCCTTTTGGAATATCCAAGGTCTGTGGCCAAAATGTTTCAGTGTCCAAGGCTTTAATACACCCTCCAGAATGTTTTTGAGATAATATTCGGCATTTATTCTAATGCCACGAGCGGAGAGCGACCATCGGCTGTTATGGCGGCCCACACCATCACCATGACCGGCGCTTCTCTTTGGCAAATAAACACGATCATTTTATTTGTTTACAAACTGCTGGACAAGGAATGTTTTCTCATCGGATATAACCAAATTCGACAGTTCACCAATTTCGGCCAAGCAAAGTAACTCTTTGGCTCTTTTGAGTCTATTTTCTTTCTGTTGCGGTGTGAGTTCTTGCACTTTTTGGAATTTCAATGGCTTAACACCGATCTCATTTTTCAATATTTGCCGAATGGAATATTGTGAAATGTTCAGCTCACGAGCCATCTTTCGGCCACTGCGACGCCGGTTTCGATCAAGTCGCTTCTTCACTTTTCGAACCATTTCTGCTGATGTTGCTGTTTCCGACGTTTCCGACGTCGGGCTACGCTACCAGTATCACAATAACGTGCGATGGTACGAGACACAAAGGCAAATATTTATTTGCATTTAAATGCTGGAGTGCTCTGACGATAGCTACTTGTGGTTTTCCAGCCAAATATAAGAAAATCACACTATTACGCTTGAATTCCATCACGAACAACTTTTTTTCTGCAAAATTCTCACCAAAATGCTTTTGTACACTTGTAAACAATATAATGAGCTGTCACTTGAATAATTTTAACAGCTGTCGGACGAGTGGCTTAGAAATGACAGCAGTCTGAAGTTGATTGCAGTTTTTTCATGTATGAAACCAACATTTTGAAGATACAGACCTATGTTTTGAATCCTATTGATTCTCAGCTCCAGCTACCTCTATCCTGTTCAAAAAGGCCCTGCTGCAGAACAATTGTGGTTTAATCGCTCCTGTACGATTCCTAGACATTTAAGTGCACAACTATGCGAGTATTCTCAGTTTGTTTGATTTTTTTTCGAACAAGCAAGCACCACAATTTCCTTTATTGCTGCCATGGGATGATATTCCTTTGGCCATTGGCAGCACAACTTTCCCATATTGATGGAAAAAAAAGACTAGAGGGGACTGGGCAAACGGAAAACTGACTGTTGCGCTTTTTTTGTTTTGCTTCATGACACATCCGTTGCTGTTTTGTGGTGTTCTTAGTTAAAGCTTCTATACAAATAAATGGTCGTGATCGCACACACACACACAAGGCTCTCCCATATTTATTGAATTTCTGTTGGTATGTACGCCCGCACCCACACACGCTTGACACACACAATCTCGCTGCTCTGCAGTAGTAGTAGTTTCCGTTTCCTTCCGTCCTTCCATCAATTTTGTTTGTTTAATAACTTTTGATAAATAATACAAGTGGTGTATTTGTTTTTTGCTTTATTTTGTTTTGCTAGTATTGTTGTTTTTCAATTGCTCATACAATGCCATCCCTCACACCCATCGACATGCCGCAACTATTATTTATTTTATAAAATTGCAATTGTATTTAATTTTTGCTCATTTATTTGTTGTTGTTGTTGTTTTGCTTTGTGTTTGTGCATTTGCTATTTAATTTAACTGCCATAACACTCACACAACGACAACGACAACAACATTAATCATCGTCATCACCATCATCGACGTCGTCGTCGAGGATATGACATCTGCTATTCGAGTTGAAATATTAATGACTAAGGATGGTGGCGTGGCCACAATTTGAAGTCACTGACCTTTGTTGGGTTTGATTGAAACATGACAAATTACTCATAATTGCAATTTGCCTTTTGGCTGATTTTTGGATGCGAATCGATTTGATCCTGCTGGTTAAATGTCTTCACAGAGGTTCCAAAGAAGAGTCAAGGATATTTGCTAGAATTCTCTTTAATTAATTTGGATTTTTAGCTTCGTTGGAATCGGTTGGAGGCCAATAGTGTTCCTTGAAGATTTGACTGCCCTGGGCTTTGATGTGATAATTATTTAAATAATACTTTGCTAAAACAAGTAAAAAAACATTAAGTTCGGCCGGGCCAAATTTTTAATACCCTCCACCTTAGGGTAAAAGAAAATGCCGAATATCGGGAGGCACCGTTATATGAGGGCTACACCAAAACGTGGACCTACACATGCAATGTTTCGGAGGAGCTAGAACCCATTATGACCTACAAATACCAATTTTCAGACAAATCCAGGACAAAAATGTGGCAAAAATCATCAAATTGCCGAATATCGGGAGGTACCGTTATATGGGGCCTGTACCAAAACGTGGACCTATAATTATAATGACTCGCCACACGAACTGGCACCCATTATGATCTACAACTACCAATTTTCAGAGAAATTCTTGAAAAAATGTGTCAAAAATCATCAAAATACCGAATATCGGGAGGTACCGTTATATGGGGGCTATACCAAATCATGGACCCATACATGCAATGTTTCGCCACCGTAGCTGGAACCCATTATGACCAACAAATACCATTTTTTAGACACATCCGTGAAAAAAGGTTGCAAAAATCATTAAATTACCGAATATCGAGAGGTACCGTTATATGGGGTCTATACCAAATCATGGACCCATACATGCAATGTTTCGCCACCGTAGCTGGAACCCATTATGACCAACAAATACCAATTTTTAGAAAAATCCGTGAAAAAATGTGGCAAAAAAAAACTAAAATACCGAATATCGGGAGGTACCGTTATATGGGGCCTACACCAAAATGTGGACCTATAATTACAATGTTTCGCTATACGAACTAGGACCCAGTATGACCCACAAATATCAATTTTTAGACAAATCAGTAAAAAAATGTGGCAAAAACCATCAAAATACCGAATATCGGGAGGTACCGTTATATGGGGACTATACCAGAACGTGGTATTTTCAATACCAACCATCCTAGAAACAATGCGAATAGCTCTGCTAAATTTTGGCGCTCTACGTCAAATAATGTGGGCTGTATCATGATTTCAACAGACAGACGGACAGACAGACAGACGGACATCGTTAAATCGACT